TTTCTGTGCTTTTCAGGTCACCGGGACTTTGATCACTATGGGGGTGAAGGATCGCCCGCAGTGTTACTTTGATGTGGAGCTCAACCGGGAGCCAGGTAAATCAGGTCTTTCTTTGTGTTTCTCGTGAGTTTGCTCTCAGGAATTCCATTGGCTTCTGCTTAGAGAAATTAGGGCTGTGCAATTATTCTAAATTCGATAATTGGGGTTCATATTTTTTTGGAATCGAGCAGCCCTATTAGAAACGGCTGTGTTTATTCTTCCTCCAGAAAACGCACATATTTTACTCGCTAAGCACCACGTGCTGCGTCCTTGATGACAGCTGAAGTGTCCTTTCATAACAGAAGGCACAAAAAGGTCCCGACAGACCCGAACGAGAACAGAAAGTAGTTTCTGGTTACTTGAGGCAGCCCTCGTCGCCGCTCCCAGCTTTGATTTCCGTCTATTAACTCTACGGATGTACTAACAAGACCAGTTTATTCACCTCAGGCAAAAATGTTTTGATTCCCGAGGGAGGGCCTAAGCTACCCCTGACAGCGCATTTCGCTTCAGCTCCTCGCCTCAGCTCTTGAGTGTAATCAGGTTTGCGTGTTTTGTTTTCAAGGCCAATTAAAAGTGTCATCATATAGAGCTCTGTTCTCCACCGATGGTTGTTTTGATTGTGCCGTAATGAAAACAGATGATGACTGATTTGCCTTTCACACAGCGGTCATTTATCTGCCAGGCTTCGAATACGCCCCCGCCGTCCCCTTTCGGCAACACGGGAAAGCCGCTTGCTCCGTGAAAAGGGGCTTTTGTGTGAAAGAGTCTCCTCTTACGGCTTTTCGGAAACTGATCAGACTCTTTTTGTTTTGCAGTTGGGCGAATTGTCTTTCAACTTTTTTCTGACATTTGTCCCAAGACCAGCAAAAACTTTCTCTGTTTGTGCACCGGTGAGTAACTAACCTCTCCACTCCCGCCCTAACACTGACGAAGAAACATCTGAAGCGATAACCGTCATCATCAGATAACGCTCGTAAAAAAATTCCTACCCCGACTCGTAGTAGGTGTGTTGTGCGAGATCTCACTGGCAGTGCTCCTTTTCTCCTTGCAGGTGAAAAGGGAGCCGGCAAAATAACAGGCAAAAAGCTGTGCTACAAAGGCTCCACATTTCACCGGGTTGTCAAGAACTTTATGATCCAGGGCGGCGACTTCACCGAAGGTGATGACGACACCGTCCGTCTCCTTTAGTCGCCTCGGCGCAAGCGCCTCGCTTATTTCGTGGTTGGAAATTTTCATCAAGCCACGAGATGACGTTGGGGCACATGCTGCCAGCGACACGTTGTGCTAAAGTGTACATTTGTCGGCATCCGCGTCACTTGTTTAGTCTCACACGTCTCTCCGCTTCGCAGGAAATGGAAGAGGAGGAGAATCCATTTACGGAGGCTACTTTGAAGGTAATTGGCAATCGAATGACACCGTGATTTCGTCTCTTCGATGTTTAATTTGAATTGAAACGGTTTCAGCGTGAAAAAAAGATTTGCTTGCAAACGTGAGGTCATTCTGAGATGATGGGTGTCAAGAATTGTGCGTTGTTTTTGTGCAATATTGCCCGTACACTGCCGGTCAGAAGCAGGAGGGAAGACGGCGCAGATTTTCCAGCTATGTAGCGATGTCATGCTTCGCTACAATTCACTCTTTTGTATGTTGCTCCTTTTTCGGTTCGGCACAGTGCGGGAACAAAAAACAAAAAACAAAACGATGCAACTGCTTTTCATGACTGGAAATTGGGGCTGATTCTTTGGAATTTAATTTCCAAAGACCCTATGAGCAATGTATTCTCCAATACACATCAACAAAATGTGGACAGTAAAAGGAAAAAAAAAACCCAAAACATTTTAGTCCTCTGTAATCTTTTCTTCTTGGAGCATCGCAACCTCTTTTTAGCACACGAACAATGCAGAGCGGTGCATCATTCCCATTTTGAACACCGTGTCATTTGTTATTGCTTTGGCGCCATGATGTCCGCTCGCCAGAAGCTGAGCCGCACCGTGTTTGTTTACTCGGTTGCGTGCGGCCGGAGCGCAAGGCAGTCACATTTCCCGTCTCCACGCGACCAACCAAACATTCTGCGCTGACAAATCTGAGCGCGTAGGGAAATTCCGGGACCTGCCGCCGTCGTCTACTTCTGGCCGGTAGCGTACTTGCATTTCCCCGCCGGCCTTACTGTGCGGTTTTGTGTACAGTCAAGCGTGAGTGGGCTTTTCTTGACCCGAATCCGCATGGGCAGTAGGCGTTCTCTTTTTTTCTGAATCATCTTGCCTAAAATTCTCCACCATTATTCTTGTATTTGTAGAGGGGTCTTTTGCAAAAATGAATGAAAAGGTAAGCCCATGTACACGTGCCCACACTGTGCCCTCCACCGCCGCCTGCCCTCCGACCGTAATTTTGTGCCGGGATCGGGCTCGTTCCCGCACAGCTGCCCCCATTCGTGACGCGCGGCCCGCTCACATTTCTGTTTCTCTCGCATTGTTCATTGAAAGCTGCAAGGTTGCCGCCGCGCACTCCCTACGAGTGCCGCAACGGCACGACCGGATTTAGACGGGCAGCGTTGATCGTTTTTATCATTGATGTGTGCCAAAGTCCTCCAGACTTTAGAAATGCTTATTTCTCCCCTAGTCGTCAATCAGTTGCCTCCCCTCCCCCTCCATTCGCAGCAACATTTTGAACCTCTTTTTTTTACGGAAGGGCTGGCGGGGCGAGGCGATCACTTCTCGGTTTGTCGGATGACACCGACGCTTTCGCTTCTGTTGCATTTGCCGTCTTGGGCTCAAGATTCATCTCAACTGAAGTTACTGGATTGTGCTGCTCACACAACGTGCCCCCTCCTTGTTTTTTGTTTTGTTTTGGGGGGGTTTTTCCTCTCGATCTGACAGATGAGAATCTGACTCTCAAACACGACCGGGCCTTCCTGCTGTCCATGGCCAATCGCGGCAAAGACACCAACGGTTCACAGTTCTTCATGTGAGCATCATTCTTTGACCTCCATCCCCCAAAGTCCAACATTCTAATGACAGATGTAATAGCAGCTGGTTATCGTTGCTTCTGACAAAGTGCCACTTTTTGCTGTCTTGTTCCTTAACCTGCTTGGGCATCGACAACACCCCCCCTTACCCCTTCTATGTGTAGTTTAGAAATGCTAGTACAGAGAAACATCGATTCAAACCTTTTTTTACCCACAAATGTGTTACATTTCTTCTCTTGCCGTTTTTTTGTGTAAAATTTACAGAAACTCTAGCGTCCTGCTCTTCCAAGGTAATGTGTCTCCAAGGCTGTGCTTTTCTCTCTCTCTCTCTCTCTCTCTCTCTCTCTCTCTCTCTCTCTCTCTCTCTCTCTCTGCGTTTTCGGTTTCTCCCTCCAGAAGTACGATTACGACAGCAGCACGGTACGCAAGAAGTTCTTCAGAGAGGCTCTGCTGCAGATCATCATCCCCTAACTATTACCAAGTAGTCATTTGCATCTACAAACATTTTGCAGAGTGCTTACTTTGGATGTGAACAACAGTACAGGTAGTCCCAACTGGCTTGAGGTGTCCTATTCCAGGGGAACCACCGCAGCCAATACTGTATATAAAAAAACAAAATATAAAATGTGTACTTGAACCAAAATTCTCTGGAAAATCTCATGAGTGTTCAAATCTGCCGAAGGCGTTCAACTTCTTGTAAAGGTTTTGTTTGAATTCAACAAGGAAAATTCACAATAGATTTGCAATCCAATCCCCTGGACCAAAAGGTCTGTTGTGCGTCTTTTCCCATTGTAAAATACCGCCTGGCTTTGTCCAATTTCCCTTTTCGTTTTCACTCTTGTTCTCCTTTGTTCTCTTTTTGTCACGCTCGTCATCTCGCGGTCGACGGATGCGCCTTGCTCGGCTTTCGCACCGGCAGCACGACCAAGATGGCACCTCATCTTGACGGGTATGTCGCCGCCGCATTCTGCATTCGTTGTTTAGTGACTGACGCCCGACTTTCTGCATACTTAAGAGTCCACGTCGTCTTCGGCCTCGTCATCTCCGGCTTTGAGGTGATCAAGAAGATCGAGGGGCTGAAGACGGATTCGGCGAGCCGGCCGTATGCCGACGTCCGGGTGGTGGACTGCGGACAGCTGATCGTCAAGTCCGCTAATGACGGTCAGTCAAACCTTCTAATGACGTGATCGACTGCTGGATGCGTTGTTTACTCGCTGACCTTCTTTTTTGTTGTTTTTCAGTTCTGGAAGGCAAAAGGGTTAGGGCGTCGCATTCTGCCGACTCCTCGCTCAACTCCTCTGACTCGTCATCTCTAAGCTCCTCATCCGAGGAGTCCGAGAGCGACTCTGAAAGGTCCACGCGTCGCAAGCACAAGAGACACGGAAAGAATAAACGCTCCAAGAAGCGGAGGAGGCCGCCCAACCCGGAGAAGACTGTCGACCTCGAGTTGTCCAAACACAGGTGAGAGCGTCTCTGTTAATTGTTCTCATTCCGTGAAACAAATCACTCTTGGCTTTGTTGGAGTAAAAAAAAAAAAAAAATGCCCTCAAGCTCTCACCACCCCGCCGAAGAAGAGATCGGAGATGCCAATATGGAAGATGAGAAGGAGCACAGCGGGAAGAGGGAAAAGCCCGTTGTCCGACCGGAGGAGATTCCGCCTGTTCCCGAGAACCGTTTCCTGCTGCGGCAGGACACCCCGGCCCAAGAGAACAAAGCGGAGACGTCAGTTCACGCTGGATTCAATTCTCATCTACAAAATTGCTTGTCGTCGAGATTAAAAAAAGAAAGTCTGATTTTTTTCGTTGTTGTTTTTTTTCCCCGGCTTTTTCAGAGTTGACAAGCAAGAATCCACAGTTGAAGCCGAGCCCAAACCAGCAGTCTCTAAGTCTGGACGGAAAATCCGAGGCCGAGGCACAATTGTGTGTTCATTCATGTTCTCTTCATAAAAAAAGCTTCAGTTGCCGTTAAACCCGTGTATTCTATCAGTAGTTGCCAGTCGCCCCTTTTATCTTCTTCAATGAGTTAGCACAACACCACGACCCCCGCACACCTTGATGATCAGCCCGGCGTCTATTCGGGCTGCGACTGGTCCGCGGTGTAGCCCACCTCTCGCCCTGCGCCAGCCCTGAGAAAATAGATTTGTTCTTGAACCAGATTGCTTTCTACCCTTTTCATCTCCCGCCACCATCAGAAGCTGGGGGTTGGTGTCCCCGCGTTAGATGCATGTCGATTTGAAGACCGATCCAAATTTGCCGCGTGGAGCCACCTCCTTCATACAACGAGATCTTGTCGGTTTGTCCGCAGAGGTACCACACCCCCACCAGGTCTAAATCTCGATCTGCATCCGTGGGCGAGAGAGGCAGCAGTGAAACTCCGCCCCACTGGAAAGAGGAGATGATGCGGACTAAAGCCTATCAGCCTCCCAGTGTTGAGAGATGGAGCAAAGGAGACCAGTACGATTCCATCATAAAAACACGAAACACGTTTGTGATCAGGTTTGCGACCTAATGGACTGAAATGCCTGTTCCTTACGCAGATGGGACAAGAGAAGCGAGACGGCATGGTCCAGGTCCTCCGAGCGTTCGTCAGGCCGTAGTTCGGAGATGTCCAGCCCGCCACGGCTCCTTAAAAAAGAGAAGAAAAGGGCCAAGCATAAGAAAAAGGCCAAAAAACGTAAGCGCGGGAAGAAGAGGAGCTCCAGAAGCAAACATCAAGACGGGGAACGGTCGCCCTCCTCCAGACGGCTGAATGTCAGAACGCCTCGCTCCTCTTCGAGTCGCCGTTACACGAGAGGGCGGTCCTCGGTGTCCAGATCTCGCTCCCGATCGCGCATATCCAGTCGTTCCAGATCCAGGGCAAGGTCTTACTCTTATTCACGGTCCAGAAGCCTGTCCCGCTCAAGAAGCGGCTCCCGGTCTCGATCTCGGTGCCGGTCCTACTCTCGATCCAGGTCCAGACACAGGTCCGCGTCGTTCACGCCAAGCAGAAAGAGGAGTTTATCCAGATCTCCGAGAAAGGGCAAGTCCAGAGCAGACGCCCCCGTCCATCTCCCCGGGAAGCTCTCGGATAGCAAAGTTACACCAGCGTCCAGAATGCTGACTGTGCCGGTCCCGGAAAACGTCCCCGTGATCCCACTCAGCGATAGCCCGCCTCCCTCCCGCTGGAAGCCAGGTCAGAAGCCCTGGAAATCATCCTACATCCAACCTCCGGCCAGCAAGGCCCAAATAGCCCCGGTGAACGTTTCTTCCATGGGGCAAGCGGCGTCGGAGAACGCTCCGAGTTCAGTTCAGGAGACATTTGTGCCGAGCGACTCCGAAAGGGCCAAGCACGGCGCACGGCGCTCGCCCAGCAGATCCTCTCCAAGCAAGTCCGACAGCCGCTCAAGAAGCCGAAGCGCCAGCAAGTCCGCCTCCGGATCCCGTACCAGCAGCAGATCGGACTCCGCGCCCTCGGAGCCCAAGAAGAAGAAATCCCTCGACAAACATTGGAGAAAGTATTACCGATCTCTGAAGAGGATAAAGCATATGGACAAGTACATTTCAAGCGCTGCTGCTCACGAGGTCCCGTCGGTGAAGAAAGCGGGCGTCGAGCCGAGTCCTGATAAAGTTGTGCCAAAAGTGGGTCAAGAGCAACGAGGCTCTCCGGACCAAGAGACCAAAAAGTACAGTTCGATTCAGACGGATAGCTTGGTTCACAAATCTGGATGGGACAGCGACAGCGATAGGGTGAGCCAAAGCAACGGTGATTTCCTGTCAAAGCTTCAGAAAGCGCCTGGCCACATACCTGACAAGAAGACCTCGGGCCTCACCGGGTGGAATTCCGAGAGTGAGTCCGAAAGCGTCGCCACCAGGCCAGCGGCGCTATCGGAGAAAGAGGAAGGCGAAGCCAGTTCCGAATCGGAACGGGAAACCGACAAAATGCCCTCGAGCGCCGGGCACGCCGACGCTGCCGCCCCGGCGCGGGCGAGCGCGCCGACGGCTGCCGACCCGGAGAAGCACAAGAGCAAGAGGAAGTCCAAACGCAAGCGCAAACGCAAGAGTCGAGGAGAGGGCAAGAGCGGCTCCCGCCACGCGAGGGACAAGAGCAAGAGACCCAAAAAGAAACGGCAGAAGCTGAAGGAGACTTTTCATTGGCAGCCGCCTCTCGAGTTTGATGAGGAGGAAGACGAAGACGACGCCAAGAGGGAGAAACGTAGCCCGGTGGCCGCGGTCGTCAACAAGGACCGCGGCGTCACCTCTTCCAACAAGAATGCTAATAAAGAGGAAAGCGGGCCTCCGACGAGGGCCAAAGAGTCGAGTCATAAAAGCACCAAAGCATCGGAGCCTCGGCATCAGCCGTCGAACAGGAACGGTAGTGACTCATGCGGGGCGAAAGAGCCCAACTCTGTGGACGCTATGGACATCTGCACTCCCGAGCATGACGCCGCGGCTGCAGTCGAAGCTGCGGCCGCGGCGTACGGCGGCGCCCCTGAGAAAGCCCCGAAAAGCGGCTCCCGGTTGGCCGCCAAGGCAAGCAAAGGTGCCCTGGCGCAGCCGCAAAGCCTCGAGCCGCCCCCTGTCGCCGCCGCGGATCCGGACCAGCCCACCAGCGCTGCCGTTCATTTCAAATGGAGGCCCTTGAAAGGAATGGCCTTGCTCCAGAACGCGGGCGCGGCGCAGCTTGTGACCCACAACGCGCACGCTCAGCAGAGCCACCCGGCCAGCGTTCAGGGAGTGCGAATGGAGATCAAGAGCAAGAACCGGGTCCGACCGGGATCGCTCTTCGACGAGGTCCGCAAGACCGTGCGCCTCAACCGGAGGCCCGGGAACCGGGAGAGCTCCGGCGAGGAAAGCTCCCCCTCGGCCGGGGGAACCCGGGGCGACTCCCCGAGGAAGTCGCGCTCGGCCGCCCGCCGCTCGCGCTCGACTTCCAGTCAGCGGTCCCGCACCAGAGACTGGTCGCAGTCCTACAGCAGGTCCGGGAGTCGATCGCGCAGCTCCAGCTACTCCTCCAGGTGAGAGTCCGCACGGTTTGAATTCATCTGTTGCGCGCCAGCGGTAAAGCTACCAAATAGCACCAGGCTGTTCATTTGGAAAACAAAAGAAGCGAGCGGCGTTGCAAATGCAATCCATCAACGCGTTTGACCAAGCCTTTTTGGCGCGGGGAACACTCTTGCGTTTGTTTCGTGGAAGACGTTAACAGAGTTTGTTCTCGCTTTCAGAGGTCGCAGCAGGAGTCGCCGCAGGCACGTGCGCCAGCGATCCCGCAGCAGCACGTACGGAAGCTACAGGAGCCACAGGTGCGCCCTGATTTCAGCGCTTGTGATTTGTTGAATCTTTTTTTTTTTTTAAATGTCTAATGTGCCAGCGTGTTTCTCGCGCGTCGTTTCAAACCTGCCCCTTTCTGCCCTCCTGTCAGCCGGACGTACAGCAGAAGTCACACCAGAAGTCCCTCCTATAATTACCGCAGCAGGAGATCCAGGTGGGTTGGGTCTTTCTATTGGATTCCCTCATATTCCTGGACCCGAAATATTTACTTTCACGAAGACGTGACTACTGCGCTAGTGGTGAACGATGGAATATTATGGTCGCACTGCCGCCGTGGGAATGGAAACACTGTTGTAAACCCAGATGCCTTTGTATTTGAGCTATGTTTTACTCAAGAGTCCATGTAAAATACCAAACAATCAATGAGGACGCGACTTGGCATTTTTCCCCAAAAGGTCCGCCTCCTCTGACAGCTATTCCAGCCGCAGTCGAAGCGGGAGCCGGC